CTACATTACATAGCTTCAGTTTGCTCTCTGCCATAGCCACATCAAGATTTTGCTGGTTTTAAAATACATTCACGACCAATTTTGGTTGAAGTGTAAGCTGCATATTTGACTGGTAACAGCTGCTACATCACTCTCCCTTAAAAGCCATCAGACTCCGATGATAAAACCAGTATTACTGCCCGAAACAAAGGAGTTGCTGATCTACCTCTGCCTTTATAGGTTATTTAGTTTGTGTTGCGTAAATAATGTCTCATTTTAGGGGCTGCAGCATGCACAGTAAGCATATAAAGACATGTTACGTCACTGAGCCGCGCCTCAAACGCTGTCCAGTTTCATAGGCTTCTTCAAATATGGCCGACAAATGAGTCGTCCTTTCCCTAGGCAAACGAAGGATCCATGCGTCGTATCCTGAGATTCATTGCGCACCAATTCAAGCGAGCTAGCCAACCCTTAAGCTGCTCAAATACACTTTTATTCCAAGTAAAGGGCTTCAATTCAATAGAATAACTACGCACACAAATGTTGAAAACTAAAAACAAAAGGGCCCATGAAACTTCAAATCCTCTTGAAAATAATATGTGACGTTAGATATGTTTGCTTGTTCCTGAGGAGGTTGCAAGGCGACAGGAAACAAAAGGTTAAGGCGAGGACAGCTGCTGATGTGAACAGGGAATCCTCTATGGACCAGACTGTCTCATTTCAGATTGGCCTCAGATTAACGGTCTACACAGGCTAAGTCGTCGGGGGCCTTCGTAGGATGCTACCCCCCAAAATGAGACACAGCTGTAGTTTTTAAAATGAGTAAGGGTAAGATTGAACCCTAACAAACCAAACAACTATTTGAGGCAGAGGTAGACCTGCAACTCCCGTGACCTGCAGGGTAAAATGTTTTGTCAATTGAGTCTGGTCAAGTCACAGAGAGAGGTGTAGCTAAAAGCTGTGATTGGTATCTCTTAGAAATCCTTCCAGAAATATTGTCAAACATGTAACTTAAAGACAGTGCCTGCATGTTACCATGGCAGCAAAATGTGATGTGGCGAGCAGTTTTCCGCCTTAAGAACAAAGCAGCTCCTTCGCCTTCAGGATTTTATTTCACCAAGGCACAAAAAGCATCTGGAGGAAACAGCTGTGTCGTGTTAAAGATATCTCCACAGTGTACCAGTATGTGAATGCCAACAAGTCGCCAAATCAAAACCAAAGGTGGTGCAACTGAAAAAAGCCAGTTAGTGAGATATAAAGTTGTGTTTTTTTTTTTTTTATCTCACGCAGAAACTGATAGAAAAAGCTCAGAGTCCTACATTTGAATGACCAAGTCTCGTGGGGAGGGAGTGTCCACCCCCTGGCTGGGCTGCTCATGCATATTGGCACACAAGGGGGAGAAATCAACAAGTTACCCATGAGTCTCCACCCCACAACTCCCAGCTGGTTACGCTGAAGTTGCGGGATCCGCCTACTCTGGCGTGGCAAGAGTTTGAACGTGGCTAAGGTGAAAAAAGACAGCAGTTCCTCTCTTTAAAACACACGTGTTGAACACTGACCAGCTGGAAAACTGTGGCGCCAGTTAACTAACTGATTCACACGCATTCTTACAACGATCTTAAAATGGGAAATTCTCTTTAAATATCCTAAACATTGCTTTTATAAAACCAACACACACACACACATGCATGCAGACTTCAATATTTATTAAACTGGTTTTGTTGAAATGATTTGCAAATCGCTGGATGGTCATGCCATTTTTTTTTTGCACCAAAATTCAGACACTATTCACCTTGCTTGTTGAGGCCTTGTAGGTCGTCTTTAGTTTTTGTGACAGCTGGCTCGTGCTGTGACTCGCTGTGGATCATCAGAAATAATACAGATAAATGAAGAGAAAATCCAAAGCAGCAGTCATAAAAATACTTCAGATTATTTTGTATCTCTGTTTCACTTTGTTAAAAGCTAAAAATGCTGACGTTAAATTGACCTCACCTTTTGTTTTAAGCGCTCCTTTGGCTAAATCTGCCCCTTCGAAGGTCTGCCCGTCTGCAGTCAAACGATCATTCAGCGTTTCGATTTCTCTGCGCACTGCGAGAGTCAAACAGACCAAGTGTTAAAACATCGAAAGCAACAACAAAAAATTCACCTTGTAGATGTCTAGTTCATGTTTGTTTAACATTACAAGGTTCATGACGATGGCACCACATTAACTCTGACACCTAGTGTTTAAAACGAGTACTGCAGTCCAAAAGGAGGACATACTGGCTGCTGCATTGTTGTCAGAGAAGCCAGCACTTCAACATAGCATGTTTCCTTAATGTCTGATTATATAGGAAGATCACTTTATCATTTCAATCCGGAGTTATCTTACTGATTGGTCTTTAATATTAGCGGTAAGTAAAAAGAAGGAACACATCAACATTTAGAGATACAATTAAATGAAGATGACCCGACAGCTGTTTGTTAAAATGTATTAGGGTAATACCAGAGAGACACTCGATATACTGAAACCCTTCACTGAGTGATTCCCGTAGATTGAAAGAGAGAAACGATTTTTGCGAGCCCATTTTTTTCCGGCAGGCCGCCCCAGAGTACAGACGCTCTCAGAGAGTAATCACAGTCGCCAAGTCTTAAATGTGATCTTTGGAACAAACACAGGGCTTTGTCTGAGTGGGTCTTTTGTGCTGCTGGAGAGCATCCAATCAGAGAAAGGTTGTTGTATTTGTGTTAGAGTTCCTTTGTTAAAGAAATCTGCTTGTTTCATAGCTTTTACCCACAGCGCACTGTATCACTGGAATGGTCTTAAAGAAGCATATCTGGTTAAAGACGTTAAGACGTGTTCATGTTAATCATTTTATTTTATAATTTCATAACTACCTTGCATTAAACTTAGCCAAGCCGTACAGTTTTCAAACCTCTCTTTAAAATTGATTGTATGTGTGTGCTTGTTTTATTGTATTTTTCATGATTCTAAATATTTCCAAAATACTAATTATTACTGATAATCTCAAAATGGCTGTTTTAGGTCATATCTATTTGCTTATATTAGCTTTCAGTCCAATGGATTATTTTTATATAGACAATGAAATAGTTGTTTGATATAGGCGACAAAGCCTACTTTCATTTAAAAAAAAAAATGTTTTCTTGCTGTTAAAGGTCACATATGTTTCTCTAACTCTAATATGTGTCTCTAGTCTGTCTAAAAAAAAACCAACCCCCTCCATCATCATCTTTTTCCTGCTCCACTTTTCAGAAAATGTGTGCTCAAACTGGCCGTTTGAAGATTTTCCCTTCATGACATCACAAAGGGCAGTAGCCCCTCCCCCAGGTGGGTGACACTCCCACAGCTAGGTTTTGTTCTGCCCTCTGAGTCTGCCTTCTCACCGTAAACAATAGGACATGGAGCGAGAAAGACAGAGTACACCCAAGACCTTCCAGAGAGGGGGCGTGGTCAGACACAGCTCATTTACATATTTAAAGCTACAGACACAGAAACAGCCTGTTCTGAGCAGGGCTGAAATAGAGGGGTTTATAGACATGATCAAATACAGGATCAGAGTGGATTTAGAACAAGAAACTTCACACACATGTTTTGAGGAGCTCTGACACTTATTTAAACTGAAGAGGAGGAGGAGATGTGACCATTAAAATACTCCTTTTAGAGTTTACGTAAGTAGAGTTAAAAATATTTGCAGCCATGAGGTAAACTGACTGTTTATCCTAAACTACAAAAGGAAATTGGTGTTGAAAGACAAAGTTCTCTATAACAGTTATTGCCTAAGTTCCTCTCATTTGTAAGTTGCAAGTAAATTTTTTTTAACTGTTAAAACAAAGCAATAACTTCTGAGTCCTCTGAGACAACTTACACTCTAGGTTTTCTATGTAGAGGTTTTCAAACTCCCTCTCGATCTGACTGAACAGGTCCAGCAGATTGCTCCGCAGAGACAGGGGCAGTTTGGAGTCCTGCAGGAAGAGAGAAAGGAAACAGTGAGGCAATGTTTTTTTATATAACGTGTGTGAGGCTGACGTCTGAGTTCAAACACTCAGAAGAGGAGTGGTAGTCTGTCAGGTAGTTCTGTGAATTCTTCACTTTATCCAACATCGTGCCCAATAAGGTTGTCAACATTTTGGATAGCATGTTTTTTAGAATGATTAAACCAACGTTCATGTTCTGATTGACAGGATCAGAAACGACCAAAGCTTTAAAACTCACATCTTAACTTGTATTTTTAACCACAAGCTGCGATGAGCGTAAGAAAGAGATCGGTTACTGAAACATTGCCAATGTGTATTTGTGTAATTAAGACAGTGTGTGGATGTCGTGTGTGCATTTGTCGTTAATTAAAAACAAGAAATTACCCAATATTGTGTGCGTCATACTTTTGTTTTAGTTGCCGTGGTAGGGCTACATGATATTGGAAAAAACTGACATTGCGATATCTTTTCTTTCCGCGATACATATTGTGGTTTGAAAAACCATCCAGACAATCAAACTAGATTAATCTGGACCCTCAACAACGTGGGTTTCATCTCTGAAAAAATAGGAAACACTAAGGGAGGATAAATCAACTTTATGAGACATGAAATGAATTGACATCAGATTTCATGGAGTTGAGAGTTTGTTGAACTCGTAAATAACAGGTTTACACAAACACAGAGAATCTTAGTGCAACAAAGCAGCCGACTCTCATCAGACAATCATGACCTTGAGGAAGGAAGAGTTTCAGGCTCAAATAAAAGTATCCATATAAGGAAATAGTCAGAAACGAAGGTGACGAAGCAAAGAAGACACGATGGGGCCTTACAGACGCTAGAGTGTACTTATGGGGGGGGGGGGGGTGTAACCAAACAGCTCTACATCATTAGTTTAAATGTCCTACCACTCACAGCTAAATACAAACTTTACATACAAGCATTCAAAACTCATAACCCAACAGAAGGTGATCATCTTTCCTCATCATAGAACCGCCCTCTCTGGACGTGAGCGCACGCACGCACAGTACTCAGCTTAATGCACTCTGCCTTGAGCCGAATCGCTGCTTTCAGCTTTATTCTCTAAAGGAAGCAGTCAAGTGTGACGCGAGCCTTGAAAGGCTGATGTTGGCAGCACACAGGTCAGTACGACACTGCACGCATCAGGATAACTGCACAGAGAAAGAAAGGCTGCAGCATGAGGGGGGAAGGTAAAGGATCACAAACAGTACAGACTATATGTTGCTCAAGACCTTGCATACACGGGGATCGGATGTGGAACTTCTTCTATAAAGAAGTGAAAAACATGTTTGTTGTTTTTAGCTTTTCAAAGCAGGTGAAAGTACATAAAGCTGCTATGAAGGATTTGTATTTTGTGTCACTTATGGACGACTCCTGTGAACAGAGTTGTACTTTTTATCCTGTCCTGAACATGTTCAAGTCATATTTTCTACCTTAAGTGTCATCTTACTAATCAGTCTCTGTGAATCTCTGGAAAATGAATGTGAAGGCCGTTTTCAGCTGTGTGGTGTGAGCTGTCTGGTCTGACACCGACCCCGTAGCGTGCTGTTTACTAACTTTATACACGTAGTCAATCAGCTTCCTGATGGTCATGTTTGCTTTTATCATTTTTAGTAACTAATAAATTTGTTCCCTTATTGGTAAGACTGAAATTGCACTCAGGTCTGATGACCATATTCAGTCATCTCATCTTGTGTTTATCCATGATAAACAGGACATTCTGATCGCAGTGCAATACAAATATGCACAATAAAGTGTCCGTCCATGTCCCTTCTGAGACGCCATAGTTTTTTCTACTTTCAGTCAGTGCGCGCTGAAATGCAAATATACAATAAAACTACTACTGGATAAATTCCCATACCAGAATCTGGGTTCACTCTTCAGGACTGGAGTCTGCGTCCCCTCTTTATGTACAGTTCATTTCAAACCTTGCTTATTTGTAACTCGACCGTGTGGATGTACCTGCACCAAATTCAAACTTCTCTGCTTTAATGAAACAATCACCTTCAGGTGTGATCGGGCTCTGAATGCTTCTAGAATAGGCGTGAGAATTGAAGTTCACTACTAGAGAAGATATATTTATTCTAATTAGAGAAATCATTTATTCACAGGACCACCAAACAACACCGTGTCTGAACACTACTCATCTAGGTAAATCTAGCTCTAAACACATTTGGGAGTAACACTACTGTTTGAAACACGGAGGGCTTGACACCTGAAACTTACCTCCATTCTCATGAGGGATTCCAGATTATCAGAGGACTGGGACCAAAAGGGACCAGAGTAAAAAAAAAAAAAAAACGGTCATGAGGAAAGGATTACACTGTTTGCACCGTGTTGGATTAGAAACAGTTCCTTGAACCTTGCCAAATGTCTCACAAAGCTCTATGCTCCCTGGTGCAGCGGGATTGTAGGAGTTGAAATGTACACCAAAAATGTGGTTCCACATTCAGAGAGTCTTAACGGAGCCTTGATTTAAAATGTCATGTATATTTAGAAGTTGTGACGAAACCGAAAAGAAGCATTAAAGAACGCCCTCTGTGTGAGTGTTCATGATAAGAGAAGCTGTGTGCAAATTCTAGAGAAAGTTTGTTAAAAACTTGACAGCCAAACAAATCCATCCCATAAATTGATGGACGTGCATTTTCAGGGGAAACACCTCTTAAAACCTAAAACATTATAATTTACATGGCAGCTCCTTTTAGTTTAGTTTATTTGAATCAGGGACAGTGTATACAAAAAAACAGAAGAGAAGAGATGCTTTGTACCAGATTTAGCTAACTAGCTAATTTCCATCACCATTTATTGCTGTGAAGGTTGAGCTTAATGTCTTGTCATCTAGGATGCATTGTTGTCTCTGCACTGTGGCTGAATCTCAATTTCCTCCCTAAACCCTAAACCCTAAACCCTAAACCCTTACGGACTTATTTGATGTCACCTGGAAAGTGAATGAGTGCACAAATGGTTTAATACCAATGGGACAGCACTTTGTGACTCCTCTGTAACCATGACGTTTCTTACTTTACTTTCTCACAGCCATGGAGCTCATAAAAAAGTTCTACTTAATATAAATGTAAATGGCTCCGTTGTGGGATAAATAAAGGTTTATCTTCTCATATATATATATATATATATATTTTACAGGACTAACATGCTCTCTGTCTCTCTTGTTTTTGTTACCAGACTTGCAGTAGAGTTCTGAATTAGCTGTAGTTTTTAAATATACTTTTTTTGGTAGACTGTAAATAGAGCGTGGCTCCACCTTCACCTCCATTTTATGGCGTTCGTTTACCTTTCCATTCTTGCAGGCTTCCCCTGGGAATGTTATGTTTCACGTCACAATGCATTGATGCTATGAATTATGGGTAATTCCCTCACGATATTTCTGCAGATATGCCCACTTACGGACAGGGTGCATAAAGGGCTCAAAGTCAGCGAGAGATCCCTCACACACTTTATGATTCGACACTGGGACGGCCCTAAGCCCTCACAGACTTTGTGGGTGTGTGAGGGTGGGCATCGAGTTTGGGCTGAAGACGAGGGATGTTCCCAGGCGGATCATTTACAAGTTGAATCTAAGCTGTAACGCTGCCACCAACCACTAGCTTGCGCTGAAACTCCAGGTAATGGACCTGCTGACCCTGCTCTACTGCCGGGATGTAAACCAGCACAGGGGAGGGCTTACATCTCATAGGAGCAGCACATTTAAACTTGAACATAGTGGAGCAATACATAACCAAAATCAGCTCAGACAGGCTGTTAACCTGCAGAGAGGACCAAAGGCTGCTTATGCTAGCAATGCTAACATTAGCTACTCTTGGTAAACAAATTTGATATTGTTTACCTGCAGAGTAACGCTCGACGCCAAGTGCAACTACGAACGAAGCATCTCAGCTGTAACTCGGTTCCTTATTAGCCTGGCCAAATGAAAACCCAGCCGGCTCTCTTTCCATGGAACAAAAAACAAGAACTACTGACTCTTAACCAATCCACCTGAGCAGGGTTCAGATGACTGTCAACATTTCTTATCAATCTGTTTAAACCACGAGTTAAATCAACTGAACAGTAATCATGCAGTTATATAAAGCTTTATGTTCCTTGTGAACAGGTGCATTAAAGGCTAATTGGCTTAGGCTTACAAGCAGAGCGCTTTACGGTGCTGACAGCCAGCTAGTGATGAAAGTGGTAGACGAGTTACCTTGAAATCAATATAAATCAATGACTTTCTCAACTCCTTTTCTAATGTTCATTTCACTGATAATAGGCGAGTCTTCACCTGTCCCTCCAGCATGTCCCTCTGGAGGCCGGAGCGATCCTGCTCGGTGCTGTTGGTCCTGCGGATCGACAGGCTGTGGGACTTCCTCTTCTGCTTGGCCTGACGAGCCGCTGCACTACTCCCGCTCTCCACCGGCATCCCTCTGCCTGAATCTGAAGTGACCACAGTCTGAAAGCAGTGAGAGGAGTGAAGGAAATCCTGGTTAAAATAATCTCCTGGAAAGCGGTGCTGGCTGAGAGTCCAACAATGACACACTCCTTGGAAAACACAAGACAATTGTGTCGCATTTGGCTGAGGTTTTATTTGTTAGCTTCCACATGCCCACACAGTCTGGGTTTTGGTACATTAACGAGAAACATGAGAGATTACTGGGAAATAAACTGATTATTATTTCAATGTGTTTAATTATTCATCAAGCTATTTAAATAAAGTGCCCTTAAATATGAAAAACATTTTTCATATGCTCCTAGAGCCCATGGTTACAAAAATAATCCAAGAATCAAAACATATCAAAATCTACTCGAGTTAGAGATGAAACTTTTTATGATCTTTACATTTGTAATTTATAAGCTTAAGATATATGTTTTTAAAGTTTCATAAAATTGTTTCAAAATGTCCTTTTGCACTTTAAGGATGTCGATGACTTGCCTCAAATTGTTTGTTCTTTAAAAACAAATGGTTCCAAAATCCAAATGCATGTAATTTGCTTTTAAAACACCAGAAAATATTCACATTTCAGAGGTTTGAGACGCGACTTGTGGCACTTCTGATAAAAAAAATGCTGAAAAAATAGTTTTAAATACATTTTAAGTCAAGAATAAGCAACTTCTCAATAACTTATTTTTGACATTTTGTCTCTGGGTTTGTTCTGTAAACCCACGCACAGTTACAGTTAGTTATTGTTTTTAATTTGAGTTCAGTTGAAATGATAATAACCATGCCTAGGGTTTGATTTGTTGCAGTTGTATCGAAGCAGGATCGATACGATATCACTTGATTTTTACGAGAATCGTATCAAAAATTAAATTCTGGAATTGTGACCCTACTGTGCATTATGACACCACAGCACCCCTGGGTGGGGTTTGCAGCGTCCCTCGGGGCTGTGCTGGACACAGACGCAGCAAACTGTGAGCCTAAATAATAGGGAAGACGCTCAAGGGTGCAGTATGAGGAAACACCCGTCTTTCAAAACAGTGGTGTGGGGACATTTCAGTTTAAGCCTCAAGTATATTGACAACGAATAGAAAACAGTAAACAGAAAAATTACTATCTGCAAACATTGATTTACTCAAACACACAAACACTGAGTTTGTTTAACAGCAACAGACTGCAGTCGGCTGTAACGTTAGCAGTCTGTGACACAGTCAGGGGGGATCCCTGCACGATGCAGACAGGATGAGCAGAGAAGTGTTTGAAACAAAGTTTACCATTCACAGTGAAATAGCAAAATTAACGACCCAATTTTGTGTGAAAGTCCGCAAAAAACTGCACTTCAAATACTGAAATGTCTCCCTGTTGGTACAACTTTACATGCCACTACTTAAAAACTGCTACTACTTTCCTGTCTGACAACTTTATTCCAGAGATTGTAAATATTAAAGGATGAAGCCTGAGTGATGTCACCCGTCTGTTCCTGCAGGGGGCGCTGGAGGCTCATCAGCAGCAGCCGCCATGTTGGAAATGCTGTCTCAGTCTAATTTCAGTCAACTAACGACAGGCTGAGAGCTGGAGCTGAGGCGGGTTTTAAACCTCCTGATGAACCATTACATCACGCCCACCTGTCAATCATGTCAGCTACACGCCTAACTAAGGATACATATTGTTTTAAACAAATTGACCCCCGTACAGTGTGTGCCAGTGATGACGACAACTAATCAGACCTATTTGTTTTTTGTACCAGGCTGTAAACATTTAAATTTATGCTGTAAGAACAGCGTTTTGCCTGTTGTGTGTATGTGACTTCCTATGTTCCTGGAGCCAGCCTCTAGTGGACACTCAAGGAACTACAGGGATTTTGCACTTCCGCATTGGCTTCAATTTTCAAGACAGGAGGTTGCTGCTTGCTTTATTCTCATACACTTCTGACTTTAATCTCGAAACCTCAGATTATTTTATCCTTACTGTGGCTCAAAAACTCCTTCATAGAACCGAACTGAAAACCGTTACAAAAACCGGGGTACCTGAACCGTGTGCTGACTGTCTGACATCCCTACTTGCTAAGTTAGGGCTGGGAAATACATCCAGTTTTTAAGATATATCGATATATTTTCAAACAAGATAAAGACAATAATATCGTTAATATGGATATAGTTTATGTTGCATTAAAATAACGTTACAGAGGTGCCAGGTCTCCTTTTCTAATCTCACTGATGATGACTGACTGTCTGCTCCTCCTCTCTCTCCCTTTTATTGTCTTTAAGGAACATTTTTATTTTATAATATTACTTCACAAATTCACAAACAGGTAGTTTATTTTCCATGTGTTTTCACTGTTAATAAAATACATATCGATATATATCGAGTATCGCCATTCAGATAAACAATATCGAGACATGAGTTTTGATCCATATCGTCCAGCCCGACCCTCCAAATCATAAAGACCGTAGAAGTTCTCCTCTTTAACGAAAAACCATCAAAGAACCGAAAGTAAACGATCCGACTCCCTGAAAAGATCCGGACATCGCGTCACTGGTTCGGTCACAGTGACCCGAAGGAAGAAAACGCTCTTATTGTGTCGCCGTACATTTTGAGGGGAAACTACCCCCCGAAAACAAGAGAAAACTACAGACAAAAAGCATATTCAGCGTGAACGTAAACACTAAGCAGAAGTCCAGACGACGGTAGGTTTGTAAGCTAAGCTGCCGTTATCCCCCGTTAGCTGGAGACACCGAGCTAACCGGCTAACGGAGAGATAACCTTCACAAACAGGAAATACAACTCACCGCGAAAACTCGACAATTAAAAGGATTTATTCCCGGGTGGCGTGGGGAGTGTCGCCCTTCTTTAACATGTTCTTCAGTGGTCGAGAGAGAGGGAGGGAGAGAGAGAGAGAGGGGCTCTGGGTTTGTCAGAGGTCCGTGTTGACAGTTCACGTCGAGCTCCGCGACGTCAGAAAAGATAACGGAGCCAGTTCCGGTCCGGGCCCTTCACAATAAAAGACAACTTTGAAAAGCGAAAGGTGTGAAATGTTATCGGTTAACTCGACTCAAACAAAACAACTCTGTGAAGCTATTATCAAGGTTTTAATGCAGAAGTTTGGCATTATTTTTATTGGTCTATTTTGTATATCTATTAATGCATTTGCAGCCTTTTGAAGCATTTGTAAATCTTAAAAGCATCCATGGGTCTGTGTAAACTTTTGTTAGTCTGTGTGGAAACACAAATTCTGTTTCCTCTTCACTGGCTTCCCATGATTTATAAAACCTGATTGAAGAATCTTGTCATCACTTTAATGTTTTTTTGTTTTTTTGTTTTTTTTTTATCAGAAATGCTGTTAACTGCACATTTACACATCTTTCATATTTAAGACTAGTAATGCTTAGTTAAATCCTGGTTGTATATATTCACATTCTTAGTTTTGATATTTTTAGTGCTTATTTACTTTGTATTTAATATTATATTGTGTTTAAATTTGCTGATAGTGTTTTTTTGCTCATATTGTGTGTTTGGACAACCTGCTGCTGTAACGCCACAATTTCCCAGTTTGGGATCAATAAAGTCATTCTATTCTATTCTATTGTATAACTGTGCTGCTGTCCGTCTTAGCCAGGACACACATGAAAAAGAGATTTTGATCAAGTAGATTCTCCTTTTTTAATATAAAGAAAAAGGTCAAATACAGTAAAATATTGGCATAAATAAAACTTTTTTTTGCTTGTGTAGACTTTTCTTAATGAATATAATGGATGCCAAATTTGAAACCTTTCCACTGAAGTCCTGTACAACACAGTAACTTTGTAACTTTGTAGCTTTGGTTAGCCATTACAGTCGCTCTGTTACGGCTAAATTATTCCAACAAATGAAATGCATCGCCTAATCAGAACGGGCTTCACAAAGGGAAGACGTGTTTCAAAAGAGAGGGGGGGGGGGGGGTATGAAAAAGGCAAAGTATGACAACTTGCTTAGTTCAGGTGTATATTTATTTCTCTCCCTGGTGAAAGATTTTTTTTTTCTCAAAGGGAGACGTTAAAGGAAGTATCATAATCATCACTTTATCCAAAGTAAACCCAGCATGTCCTGAGCCTCAGATAGAGACACAAACGTTTACTAAACTGATATCACCAAGATGAAAAAACTTGTGAAATCAGATACATGGCAGTTTATACATGACTTTCCATCACACATCGAGTTTCTGAGTCTGGAGACCGGACACAGACATATTAATAAACTCATTTTAATAAGTTTGGGCAATTTCCCCACAGCTTCATCCTTTCTATGCAGACAAATGATGACGAGCAGAGTGGACTGGTTTAAAAGGAGAGATATGTCATTCTTCCCTTTTACCGGTGGAGAAATGTAAATAATAAAAGTCAGGTATAGCATCTCTGTAAGACTCCTCTCTTTTATGAGAGTGTCCTCTTCTCATCCCTCCGGACAAAGCAGCTTTTTTTATCTGTAGTCTGTGGTGCCCGACTTCCTCTTCCCGGCCAGGAGGTGTTTGGGTTTCAGGTCGAACACGTGTCTGTCGGCCTCGCCCTTCTTGCCCTGGCGGTTCATGTCTCTCTGGGAGTTCTTCATCATCTTCTTCGCCTTCCTTGCCATCTGAGGAACAAAAGCAGCAGCAAACACAGAAATCAAGTTTTTTTTCTGCAGATTTACTTTCAGAACCGGACGATGATTTAGCGCACAAAGAATGTAACCTTTATAGAAGACGCTGCAAACAGCTTAATGTACATATTTATTACCAAGTGTTTTACAATGCAGTCATTCTTCTCCACCTCATCCCATATTCAACATCAGAAAATAATAAATTAATCAATAATCAGTCACTTTATGATTCAAAAAAGACGAGTTTGAGGTCATAGGAGGACAAAGTCAAAAAAACGCAGACTTTCTTATTTTTATATCGGCAAAAATTAAGTGTGACATATCCAAAACAAAAACTTTATCTCAGGTTTTATTCACAAAATGATCCGAGAGAAATCCCAGATTTAATGCTGCATTCATGTGGTGTCGGACACATCGGGAAAACGAGTTTCCGAGTTGTAAAATGCACATGAACACCTGCTCAAGTCGGAACAACGACTAGGAAACTCAGAAAAGAATGAGGTGCTCGACTTCCGTCATCATGTCATCACGAGGGGCAAAATATTTTTTGTTCCCGTTAACATACTTTTTATTAATTCACGTATTGCACATCAACTTTTTGCTCAAATATAACTTAACAGTTTATTTCTCTGATCTTCTTTGTAGCATCAACGCTTTTTGTGCTGTTGTTAAAACATTCCGACTTTCCGACCTGAAATCGCTTGAACACACTGAAGTCAGAAGAACGACTTCCCAACTCGGAAACTCGGAGCACCCGAGCAGCACCTGAATGCAGCATGAGACCCTGTCACGTACCTTTGGATCCCTTAGACCTGACTGGTCCCGTGGTGGGCGGGAGGCGCTCTGGCTGCGGGTTTTGGAGAGGGGAGGAGCTGAAGCTTCGCGCTTACGCTTCTTTGTGACGCTCCGGGACCGCCGCTGGGCTTGTTGGGCGTAGTGGCTCTGAAAGGAGAAGAGGAGAGACACGCTTAAGACTACGTACACAGGCAGGTCTTCATGAGGACCCTGAAGGTCTTTATTTGACAACCTGCTCAGTTCCGTCATGTTACGGCAAAAATACAAAATCAAAAGACTTGAAAAAATGAAATGTTTTCAGCACAGACACTTTAACCTGCTCACAACCTTACCCAGTTAACTCTGCAGTACCGAACTTCACCTAAGACTACTCACACATTATTAAGCTCTCTTTTCACTGGAAGTACAAAAACATTTGCCACATTTACACCGAGCGTCCAGGATTCTCCCGCGCCTCAAAGATCTCCTAAAAGAAAGACTTTTGGAGATTCTGCTGAATAAAAGACGTTGTTGTGTTTTTGTTTAAGAGCAGAAACTGAGATTCTTGGAGATAATAACACTGAAGAAACAGAGAAATGTTTACTGGCATGACTTCACCAACTACCAAGGTGCATGCAGAGAGAAAAGCTTGAAGAGGTAAAAAAAAAAAAGCTCCAGCAGGATCCACACATTTCTCTGTGTGAAGACTATGGAAACAATGTAAACACCACTGACTCAATACAGCCTTTTGCTTCACAGGTCGTTGATAAGCTACACAGGTCGTTTTAGCAGATTTACTGAAAACAGACACTCTACTTTCTGCTCTTAACTTGTGCTGTGCGAAAAAACAGGAGAGGTGATTGTTAAAGATCGATTGATTCAGATACATAAATCTCTGATCTGAAGGAAGAACTGACCTCGTCTTTGTCGTTCATGTCCAGACCGAGATCGCCCATCTCCTTCTCCAGCTTCTTTCTTTCGACCTGTGGTGAAATTAAAAACATGTAAGCTTGTACTAAGATCATTAAAATAAAACAAATCAAAACGTCTGCAGCGGTTCAGCTCCTCTCACCTTGGTGGCGGTCCTGGGCATGCGAGGCCCGTGTATGTCCTTCTCTCTTGAGCCCATGACCAGGAGCTGCTTCTTCTCCCGGATCTGTTTGGCCAGAACGCGGATCTCCTGCATCTCCTCGTCCTCGCTGTCGTCGTCCGAGTCGTACTCCCCGGCTCGCTCCTTAAGCTCCTCCTCCTTCTCGAGGTCCTCCAGTTTCTGTGGGAGGGCGAAATCAAGACCAAAAAATGATTTTCAATTCAACACTTTAAAATGTCTCACAGCTCCTCTTGGACATTTAAATACGGTGTGCAGAGACCGACCTTCATGATGTCAGGATCGATGTAATCGGCGATGTTGTGGCCCTCCCACACCTCGGGGACCCTGTCCTGTTTCTCCTCCTCGTTCATCAGATCCCAATATTCTTCACAAACCAAATAAAAAACGACATCAGCACCAAGCGTCAAAAGTGTTCACGTTCAAATTCACATTAGAGATGAGAGCACTTCTTACTCTGAAGGTCCAGGATGTAGTCGTCGCCGAGCTCCATCTCCAGATCTTTCTCCTGCAAGGTGAGCAACAAAAGAGAGAGAGAGAGGTTAGCTGTGTTGCATGCCAGCACAAATTAAAACCCACTGTCGTCTCTTAGACATTTCCCTTAAAGTGACCTCGCGCTGAGCTGCAGGGATTCAAATCAAATTCAAAAAGCTTTATTTTTTTGAGCTTGTATATTTCTTTTCTAGTCTTCTGACTACTCAAAGCTCTTTTACACCTCAGGTCACACCTCCACATTCACACACTGATGGTAGAGGCTGCTTTGTGAAGAGACCATCAGTATTAAGTTATCCATTCATACGCAGCCAATGAAGCAGCAGGAGCAACTTTGAGTTAAGTGTCTTGCCAAAGGACACATCGGGCATGTAGCTGCAGCAGCTGGGGATCGAACCCCTGATCATCTGGTTGAGAGACGACCAACTCAACACTGAGCCACAGCCGCACGAGTAGGGTGGGGTGGGTAAATGGCTCCAGTTAGTGATGGGTAATATAACCCGAGATGACCAGATATCACTGATAGGAGGAGGGGGCGGAGCCATTTGATCAGTGAGCATGTGAGACCGCTTGTTCTGCTCCGAGAGTCAGAGTCTAACATCTGGCAGAGCGGGAGACTCAATCTGAGCCGCTGTCTGTCACACTGTTTTAATTAATCTGCCACTATGGCCGCCAGGTTGAGCAGTCGGTGTCGCCTCGTGTGAACACTTCAACTGAACTTGTGTTTTTAAACCGGTGATGACGCTGCTGCCATCGTGTGGCTGAGCGTAGTATCGGTGACTGTATTTATATTTGTACTGCACACCGCTAGCTCCAAGCCATCGTAGGAGAGACAAACATACCAGTTTCCGTTTGGGTGCGTCCACCTCCATCGCCCTCTTGCGCATCAGCGCTCCCTCAGGGATGAACGGAGGCCTCTCCTGGAAATAAAACATGAAGAAGAGCCAGAAAGTTATCTTCTAAAATGAATAAGATCAGACCTCTGACTTCTACCTGAGGTTTAGCAGATATGTTCACCTTCTCATCTCTCTTGGCAGGCATGGCCAGGTGGAGCCGGTTGAGAACATCGTGGACCTTCTTCCCCTTCATCTTTGTCTCGACACGGTTGGCGAGGAGTCGGTCGCAGGCCTGAGGAAAAAAAAAAAACACACACGGGACAATGAGCCACACCAACATTACAGTGCACCACCGGGGGATCAAGAAGGTTGCTGCAGCTCACCTCAGTCTTCACTTGCATGACTCCCTCCTCGGTCAGGGTGCTGGTCTCGATCACAGGGATTCCCTCGGTGGAGAGATCGGCAAAGATTTTCTGAAAGCAAGAACACAACAGTCAGAAAAAAAAAAGAAAACAGCACAGCTGATAGAGTCCCATAGAAGCTCGGTCTGTAAGGACAGGAGGGTCGACAGTTCAAGTCCTGGTCGGGCCAAAGTCTAGAATTAAATGTTTGTGACTGTTTGTGTGTAATGTTTGAAAAGCTGAATTTCCGAAGTATTCGCCGTGTCCAAAAACAGCACACTCTATGATGTCACACTGACTTATAAAATATTCAATAATTCACCTGTTTTCTCTAAAGCTCACCTGGTTCTCCTCAGACAGCTCGTTGATCTTCTTCACGTCACATTTATTGGCAACGACGATGAGCGGCTGCGGGGAAGGCGAGACACAATGACACAACTTTTAACACTTGTTCTCAAGTTATTAAGAGTCACACAAGCTTCCTGAACATAGACATTCAAGATGCTCTCTCAAAAAAGCGGGACAATATACAGAGTGCACAGCAGCATGACATTTAGACCGAATATTTTAATTTACAAATTAAAGACAAGGCACAGGATTAAAAACACAGACGTCCATCTCACTTATTACAACATTTCCAGAGGTCTCCAGGTAATCCAGAGCAAATAGAGGGTTTAGGAATCTCTTTGCATGTAACAGATCTGATGTCTGACCTTGTTAGCGAACAGCGGGCGGATGCTGTTGAAGAGCTCCAGCTGCTGCTGCAGGGTGTGACCGCACTGCTCCGACACGTCCATGACATAGAGGACGGCCGCTCGCAGGTGAGCCAGGGCCGTGATGGCCTGCATCTCGATGGTGTTCCTGTCCTCCAGGGGGTGGTCCAGGATCCCCGGGGTGTCCACCACCTACGAGCACAGAGACACACGCGCAGAGTGAACATCAGAATAACAGGAAGCTTAAGTCATATTAGCCTCTTAGGATTTCTTCTGCAGAAACTCAGAGCGAGCTGATGTGAGAGCGCGGCAGGATGTAATCAGCCTCGAGCGAGTGGGAGGGGTTGGAGATGTTTATATCATGTGACAGGAGTCAGTGCACCTGAACACTGCCACCTCTGGCACGATATTAAACTGCTGCATCATGTTTTCTGTTCCCCAGTTTGTTCTTCTCTGCTCATTTTTACGATTCTGTCAAAGACTTCAAAGACAGTCAAACTGAAATGATCTCGACATTTTCAGTAGTGTGTATGTGAAAACGGCTTCCCTTTAATTGGATGTTTTAAAGATTTTTTTTGGGATTTTGTGCCTTTAACGGAGAGATAGGACAGTGGATAGAGTCGGAAATCAGGGAGAGAGAGAGAGAGAGAGAGAGAGGGTAATGACATGCAGAAAGGAGCCACAGGCTGGATTTGAACCCGGGCCGCCCACTTGGAGGACTACAGCTTCCATACAAGGGGCGCACGCACTAACCACTGCCCCACCAGCGCCCCATAACTCAACTGAACTTTATTTCTACAGCACTTTAAACACAACATAGTTGATCCAAAGTGCTGAACATTGCAGAAACAAAGCATGAGAAAGTAACAGACAAGAACAAAGTGAATTCCAGTGTAACACAAGAAAAACAGAGCTCTGGGTTTTTGTGCTTGATGGGTTACTGAACACTAAAGGCTATTGAGTAAAAATATGTCTTAAGGCGAGTTTTAAAAACAGCAATAGTGTGAGAGAGACGGATGTCTGAGGGCAAAGAGTTCCACAGTTTTGGTCCTGCAATAGAAAAGGCCCGATCCCCATTGCACCTTGTCCTGGATCTAGGCAGTGACAGAAGGTTTTGTGCTGATGACCTAAGATCTCTCACCGGTTTATATGGGGACCAAGTCCATTTAATGCCTTAAACACAGTCAGAAGTATTTTAAAATCAATCCTCAGCTTGACTGGCAGCCAGTGTAAGGAGGCAAGAACTGGGGTGATATGATCTCTTCTTTTTGACCGTGTTGTATGCGCTGAAGGCGGGATAGACATGACAGTGATACCAACTGGATGTTTTAAGTGACAGGTGAACGTGTATCTGAACAACAGTTGTTAGCCTTCAGAGCTGTTGCAGCTTACCTGCCAGCGCAGGTATCTGTAGTCCATGTGACCCACAAACAGAGACTTGGTGGTG